TGATGTAAAGTCCCGACAATCAGGTCAGGGCGGAAACCCGGCCAGAACTTGAACTTCCGGTCTGGCCCAGCTTCGAAAATTTGGGCCCGACGGATGCAATCCCACCGGCTAGATTATTAGTTCTTTTTCTCATGTAGATGGGTTTTTTCTTTCCTAATTTGGGTGCACCTGTGTAGTTTGAGGTCAAATTTGTGAACAAATATCCTTTTTGAGGCGCTCTAGAACTTTGTTTTAGCCAAAAAACCGAATCGAATGCACCAGAAAGAGTGCGTTTATGAATTTGAGCGCAAAGTACATACGAGCACACATTCCAGAAATGCGAAAGAATCATTCCAGAAAGACTTCATTCCCAAACAATCACCGCCATAATTCTCATTTTCGTTGAATCGGCCACTTTTCTGCTAAATATTTACACGAGTTTTCCACTGCTTTGCTGAGGTGCAAAGCAAAAGAATGCGAGAAATTCGATAACCAAGAAAACCAATAATGATTTGAAGCATGGAAAAGAGATTTTAAAGTTTCCAATCTAACTTGTGAGTTCCAGTTTGTGTTTTCAGATTTTAAATTCGACCTTTTGATTTCCAGATTCCGCGAAATCAATCTCTTCATGTTTCTCATGGAAACGATGGTCGTTTTTATGCAGATTTGGGAAAAATTTGTCGCTTTGTGCACAATTTTCGTAAATGCACCCTTTCTGGTGTACGAAGAGCCGGTATTTTACCCTCGACTTGTGCGAAGTTCTCAGAAAGAGAAATTCTTTTTTGCTATACATAGGCAGACAACGTATTTTCACACATTACATAGTAGACATAAGCAAATTCGTCCCCTGGATGGGACAAAATTTTTGATGCTTACAGAACTTTAGCAGTTATTAATTGAATAGTCTGTAAATTTGGAACTAATGCAAAAATTGTAACTCCCTAGCTAGTACGTTTTTTTTCTATTGAACTAACAAATGTAAGGGAATTACCGAACTTTTTCACACAGTAATAACATTTTTTTTCTTTTTTTACATATTCCTTCCTATTAGAGTAACAATTACTGTATGTATCAACAGAAAGATCCTCATTAAAAAACTACTTTTGATTTCCCTAAACTAAACGCAAGTTTGAGACATCAGTGAAACCTCTTTCGACATGATCGTTTATCCCAAAGCCAGGTCGCTTTGTGTCCAAGATTTGGTAAGCGTCCTTGCACATGATTTAAAATGCAAATCAATTCTGATTTTCCTTATAAATTTTTTTGCTAAATATTATTTATTTCTGATTTTTGATAACATAGACACGTTTCAGTGGGTTCTTCTCAAAAATGAAAATATTGCGAAAAAATGGGGGTGCTCTATAATTTTTACAGTGACATAAAAAGTGACCAGGAAAAAATCTACATCGGTGAGCACTCTTTTCTCTCCGAAATTACACGGAAAATGATGTAATCTGATGATAATGTTATCAGAAATTAAATTACCTAGGAACAGAAGCAGGAAAACTAGTCGCCTAAATTCAGGGTTTTTGCGTAGGAAGTGAACATATCACCCCGAAAAATTTAGCCGGTTTGTATGACTTTTAAAAGTTTAACAAGAGTTGGATTCACAGATATGCTTTGGCAACCAATTCCAAATTCTACAAAGTCTATTTTTATATAAATATGTTTATTCAGAGGGCGAATAAAAGCGATTCAGATAGAGGCACATAACATATTGCCAGAATAGAAAAACTAAAAATAGTACAGTAAAACCACAAATAGGAAATACAAATTCAAAATGATTTAAATAAAGGGCAGATTTGGTATGGCTACAAGATCCAATTCGTTTATAGATCATTTCATTGAGACTGCATATAGAAGGCCAAAAATTGTGGGTATCGGATATGCGCGTGAAACAGGTAGAAGCAACTCGTCCTTGCGTCGATTCGGCGGCGGAAACACGAACTATTTTCATCGAACAAACCAAAGTCGTCGTAGGCGTCGTCCTCATTTTCTCGGAGAAGCGCGTTTGCACGAGAAACGAGTACCGAGAGATTTCCCCCGTCATCGACTCGTTGAAGTTCTTGCATCTCCGAAAGAACATCAACGACATCACTAATCACATCCCTCTGGTAGCATGGCAATGCAAAGCGAATCACAGCTTCAGAATTCTGACTTGGAATTCCTTCATTGACAATCCATTCGACGACATGAGCCAAACTCTCTGTATGAATATGGATTGAAATCATTTTGATTTGCGTTTTCATCAGAGCCTCCAAGTAGAATTCGACGTAACTCCTGAAGCTGTCAGAGTTCAGAGTGCCAGATTTCAGAGTGATCTTCTCGCAACTGTTCAAGTGATTTTCGAAGAATTTGGCAAGTGGCTCTTTACTTGCTATATCTCGCTCCAATGAGCTCCAGATGTTCAGTCTTGCGTCTTTTTTGACCGATCCACAAAAATTGGTGAAAAACTGCAAGAAACCTTCCTTTGTGTCAACACCTAACCAGAGTTGATCCACGGATTTCAACTGGCCTAAGAACTTTCTACAAATTGGTTGATCCCATTCTCGTCTAACATAGTCATATAAACAAAGGCTTAACTCGTCACATGAATTGATTCGCTTGGTGCAAGGAAGAAGAGTTGCACTCAGTTGAAGGGGCGGAGAATCGACGAACTTCTTGATCCAATTTCTCCGTTGGGAGCTCTGTCCGAAGGCAACCACAGCGACGTGCTTTCCGAAAACGATCGATTGATCCATTGCGTAGCTCGAGTAGAGCTTCTTGTTCAACATCATCAATTTTAGCACGTCTTTCGCATCAAGATGGCCTACGATCTTCTCAACCAGCTCCAGAGGCAAATCCTCCATCTTCTTTGGTTCCAGCTCCAGAGGCAAATCTTCAATCTTCTTTGATTCCTGCTCTCGCTTCGGTTTTTGCGCGCTCGTTTCAACCGGCATTCTAGTATCTGAAAGTGAGAAACGTCATTGGAATTAACATTTGTATGATTTACTGAAGTCACTTTTACCACCAAAACCACTTTTTTAGGTTAATCCAGGGTAGTAATCATTTTTCATTGCAAAAATCATATCAGGCAATCTAATAAATTGTTTCTGTTACTGAAAATGACCCCAATAAACCATAAAACCAACGAAAAACGTATAAAAAACCAATCAGAAGCGACCAAACGTAGATAAAGCTAAATTTTATCCAACAAATCCTTCACGGCTTCAACTTTCCAGCTTAACAACCAAAGCTACCCTTAAAAGCTTACAATTATTTAGATTTGCCTTTTTGTTAAAAGGAATTGGTCAAGTTGAGTCTATAAGCACGTGTGAATGAATTCAAAACAATAGAGTGGAAGGAGCCGGAAAGGAAACGAAATAAAAACCGTATTAGAATTCTAAACAACAAACTATGGGCAAGCAATATATACAAAGAACGAACTAGGGGAGGAAGAGTACTTTAAAAACGCTTTACAAAAACGTAATAGATTTACGAGGGGGAAAAAAGCCTAGCGGGACACGGCATAAAAACCGGACAGTTTCCGATTCGATCATGGAATGAAGCCAAATGAAGAGAGTGCGGAAGGAGAATTTGTGCGGGGTACGGTAGCGCATCCATTTTTTAGAAAGCGCACTGCGCAGCTTTGGCGTCAATCGCTTGAAACCGCTTCAAACTATCTTCAAGCCTAAGCTATCTTCAGTATACCAAGAAAGAAATTTGGAAATGTTCTGACGACAATCAATTCGTATTAGACAGGGGCGCTGCAATGTACAAGTTTCAAAACTGCGGACTGTCTACAGACCAAGTGGGCTGGATATCAAAAACCTCTGCCCGCACCCAATCGCAAGGGATTTGGCAAACAAATCATTGTAAGTTTTTTTTTAGTGAATTAATAAGTTGGCCTTGGTGTCATTCGAAAGCCCAAAGTTGGGTCGATTTTTTGGTAAATACAGTTTTTAAAAATAGCCAGTCTACGCGTTTCTATAAGCGTCTGTAATCTGACCTTGTAGCTTGCTGCGCCCCAGTCTAAATTCTAATACGAATTGACTGTCTTCAGAAAATGTATATTTAAACTTCCTAAAAAAATAATTTTGTAAGAAACTTTAAAAGTTTTAAGAAAAATCCTCCAATAAAGTTGTCTCTACAGCTTGGTAATGGCACCCGAACGGTGTAAACGTTGAATAACATGAACGAGGCCAGCAATCAAAACAACCAAAATGACGAGAAACGCAGCAACGATAATGTACAGCAATGGTATTTTGATGATATTCCCTTCCTCAAGAGCTGCTGGATCATTTGCTTTGCTCTAAACACATCTCTAACGAGAGTTTCTGCGTATGAATTTCTGCGTTGCGTATTGTGCTCCGAAAGAATTTTATATTGCTCAAAGTCGCCGGGGCAACTCGGCCTCCCAGTGAACGGGTTTTTTTCAGGTCATTGATCAAGTCGAAACTTTCAAAATCCTGTGTTGAAAACAGATTTTCCTTTTGTTTATTGACTTTTTCAAGTTTAATCCAAGGTCAGAGTCCAAAAGTGGTTCATTTCTTTTGCAGATTCTCTCTGTGTCTTTATCTTTATCAAACTCATTTCCTGTTAGAGTCGCTAGGTTATGGAACTTGCTCCCAAATTACAGACGAGAAATTCAGTCACTTTCCATTTTCAAGAAACAAATCGATCCTCTAGATCTAACGGCTCTCTCACGTAAACTCGTAGGTAATCTGAGTATTTGCATATTCACTCTATCTTGTATCTTGGTATCTTTCTTTGTCTATACATTTATGACTCGCTGTGCATTTCTCGATAATTTATTGGGTTTCACCTTATCATCTGAATAAAGTATCATTAAAATATCACAAAAAAATGAACCACCAGTTCCTCTCCATGGTTACCAAAAAGAAATGTAGTGTTTTGAGAAAAAAATAGGCCGGTAATTAGAGAGAAACGATCCAATTTTTGATCGTCACAAGCTTTATTTCTGAATTTTTTAAAGTTAAAACTTTTTTTTTCACAAAAAAATCTAGAAATCACATAAAAAAATGGTTGCTATCAACTTGGGAGATTCGCTGAAGAAAGAAAAGGGAATTGCGGAGCCAGTAAGTTGAACATCAAAATACTAGAGCTTATAAAATACTCAATTAACACCAATTGACACCGTTTTAAAACAGTTTATTCGAAAATAATAGATAAAGCTTTAAATTTTTCAATTTCTCTTTTCTATTCCAGTTGATTTTGTCGAATTTCAGCAGCTCCCACCGGACAAAACGATTTCCGATGCACCAGAGCTGCAATTTGAGGAGAAATGCTCGAAAAATGGGGTTATTTTTATTTGTATACTATTTTGCAAATAAAAATCAACGTTTAGAGGGTCATTTTTCGTTGGACAATTCTGACGCAAGTCGTCACTTTGGGGCTATTCATTCATCTAATCTACAGGTAGGTTCCCGGAAATCCCCATTTTTCCTGGACATTCCCGGACATCCCCGGATATCCCCATTCCCATTTTTTGACGATATCTTGACTCCTTTTTGTTCAATTCTTTTGTTTTTTTTTTTTTTTTTTTTTTTTTTTTTTTTTTTTTTTTTTTTTTTTTTTTTTTTTTTTTTTTTTTTTTTTTTTTTTTTTTTTTTTTTTTTTCTTTTTTTTTTTTTTTTTTTTTTTTTTTTTTTTTTTTTTTTTTTTTTTTTTTTTTTTTTTTTTTTTTTTTTTTTTTTTTTTTTTTTTTTTTTTACAAAATAAATTTATATTTTTTTTTTTTTTTTTTTTTTTTTTTTTTTTTTTTTTTTTTTTTTTTTTTTTTTTAAAAAAAAAAATTTATTTATTTTTTTTTTTTTTTTTTTTTTTTTTTTTTTTTTTTTTCTTTTCTTTCCCTTTTTTTCCCTTTTCTTTTTTTTTTTTTTTTTTTTTTTTTTTTTTGTGGTGGTTTTGGGGCCTTTTTTCTTTTTTTTTTTTGGGGGTGTGGTGGGGGGGGGGGGTTTTTTCCCCTTTTTTTTTTTTGGTGTTTTTTTTTTTTTTTTTTTATTTTTTTTTATTTTACTTCCTTTACATTTAGCCAAAATCTTAGAGCCCTCTCCAGGGTCTATAGCCAGCATCTGACTTGTAGGTCCCTAGGCCGGCTAATTCCTATCTTTAGAAAGGTCGGAATTTTCTTTTAGCCTATCTCTAGCACAACAATATTATTTAATATCAAAATTTTTGTTTACCATGATTACTTTTTGTCCCTCTGCCAAGGGGAATTTGACTAAAAGTAATTCAAAGTTACAACTGACATTCTGGTGGTCCATTTTGGCATTAAAAGTTTTCAGACTGTAATCAGGACTTCGACTCGACTTCAACATCATCAACAAGCAATAAGAAATGCGGTTTGTTTCCTTACAAGTTCTTAGTTTTTTCATGTTTAGGTTTTTCTCCTTGCTCTTACCTTCACCACTGAGTTAACAACCTACGGTTTTTTCATCGTCTGGATCAACAGGTTGGGGATTTTCGAAAGAGCCTTGATATTATAGCCAAACGAGTTAGACCCGATGCCTTAAACTAGACAAATTTGATATCATTAACCCGAATTCATTTGTTCCATATATTTGATGAAATTCAGTCAATTAGGCTGCATATCTCTTGATGTGAAGAAGCCATTTTTCGGAAAACATTTGCACTTAACACCTTTAACATCAAGACCACCACCTCTAGCCACTTGAAAAGTTTTTAAGAATTGAGATGAAGTGACATTTTTGAGACACAGCAGCGTCTAAAATTGTATTGATTCTTGAGTTGTCCACGCTTGATAAACCGTTCGATGTAAAAGACTAGACTTTACGATTTATATCGCTTCTAAAAGCTCTAACCAAGAGTCAATAGAATTTTGGACGCTATCGTAGCTATTAGTGAGTACTAAGTCTTGCACCTAAATTCATTTTCTAATTGAATAAGTCTCAAGCTACCAAATGAAATACGGGTTTTTTTAATTAGATAGCGCAATCATTTCTCTTGCAAATGACTTTTGAAAGTTTCTGAAAAGCTTTGTTTTGAAGGTTTTTCATTAGCAAGAAACCGAGTGTTGAAAAAACGATAAGGTTCGATGATGCGATTTGGGATCTTTCAATGGAACCTATCTTTGTGTCAATAGATAAAAGATAGCGTACAAAAAACCACTTCAAACTATCTTCAGGCCCAAGGCTTGATAAACCGTTTGAATTAAAAGACTAGACTTATTTTTCGGAAGATATTTGCACATAACACCTTTAGCATCAAGATCACCACCTCTAGCCACTTAAAAGGTTTTTAAGAATTGAGATGAAGTGACATTTTTGAGACACAGCAGCGTCTAAAATTGTATTGATTCTTGAGTTGTCCACGCTTGATAAACCGTCTGAAGTAAAAGACTAGACTTTACGATTTATATCGTTTCTAAAAGCTCTAACCAAGAGTCAATAGAATTTTGGACGCTCAAACTATTAGGTTGAGTACTAACTTTGTTTTGAGGGTTTTTCATTAGCAGGAAGCCGAGTGTTCAAAAACGACAAGGTTCGATGATGCGATTTGGGATCTTTCAATGGAACCTATCTTTTTGTCAATAGATAAAAGATAGCGTACAAAAAGTTAGGTCTACAACCAAAATCTCAGAAAAATCCGTTCAGCGTTTTTCTTTATGTGCTCATTTTACAATATTTTTTGGAAAATACCAGTTTTCGTTCTTGCGGACTATTTTAAAATACTAAAAATTGTGTAAAAATGACAAAAAGTAAACGATAAACATTTATAATGAAAGAAAACGTTTCGTATTTGATAGTTTAAGACTCATTCATTTAGATAATGAAATGAAGGGTGCAAAACTTTGAACTCAACCTGATAGTAGTAGCTTAAATTGCTAATCCTTCCATCTCAAGGTTTTTAGTGTCCACGTTGGATATATTGGCTGTCATCGTACCTATCTGACCCTCCTCCTCACATCGGTTTTCGCCATTCTTTTCACCGTCACAAACGTCCCAGCATTGTGTGCCTATTTCAGGACCAAAAAAACTCGACATGCGACCCTGAAATACAAATGCTTTGTGAGCTAAATAAATTTTAATTCCATACTTATTGAAGGAATTTTAGAAGGCGACTGCTCTCTGGTCAGCTTCTTGCGTTTTGGCTCTGTTCACCTACCTGGCCATTTATTTCCATTCGATCTATCCCACCGGTAAAATTCGTTTATTCAAAATTTGAGGTCAATTTTTTATAGGCAATAGATTTAGTCAAACTTTAAGTCTCTAAAGACCAAAAAAGTGGGATAAAAGCCGAGAACGTGCAAAGAAAACTTCAGTTTTATCCGTTCTCATGTCATTCCAATTCTATTGCGAGTTCACTTGGTGGAGAATTCAAGAGCGTATGAGACAAGGAAAAGATCACAGAATGATCTCAATCTTCGATCCGATTTTCAATTGTGGAACTATTGTCCGTGAAGTTTGCCCTGATGAGCCTGGCAGTGAGGTGAAAGAAGAAGTTGAGGGCGGTATTCAGCCCAATGTTATCGCCTGATGAAATCATGTACACAAGTAGACTGTGCTTCCTCTTCCTCTTCCTTTTTTAAAAAGCATACAACGAAAAGACTACCGTAATCTCTATTCTCATTTTTAGATTTTGAATCAAAACAAGATTTGTATCTAAAGATGAAGAAAAATTTCCATTTAACTTAGCATTTGCATTTACCATAGTCGTTTTTCTCCTCCAACAAAAAATTCTTTGACTGAATATCCTAAAAATCAATGATCAATCATTTTCGATCAATGAAAAATGATGAAGAGCACGTTTTAGATAATGCATTACTTAATGATTACTTAAGTAAATGGACATATGGATTTTTTTTACTTAACTAATAGTTTACTTAAAAGGAACGCGCTCTAATCAAAATCCTATTCCAAGTTTTGTTTCTTTTCTCTTTTCTTTAAGTTTCTATAAGTTTTTTCTGCAAACTTGTGCGATATTCTGGCATACAATAAACCAATTCTTTCACGGACTAAAAAGAAAGCGAACATATAGAAAAACGCATGGATAATGATGCCGATAATGTCATAGAACATTGAAAATGCGAATACAATCACCGAGTTTGAAAGCATCTAAATAATTCTTTCAGTAAGTACGATTTAGTCAACAAAGGATCATTTGCCTTTTAAACTGTTTCATTCAAGTTTTTGTGATGAAAAAGACTTCTTCGAAAGAAAATTGAACCTCTCAAACCTTTTCTTTTCTAACCATCAGACAATCCCGCGTAAATTCACGTAATATTGATTTTCATATTATAATTTGCATTGTGAAACAGGTTCTCTCTTTCATTACAGGCTCGAGAGTCAGCTTTTCCACTGAATATAAAAAACTAAACATAAAAGCAATCACTAATTGTGAGTGAGGTTTGTCTTACTGTATTGAAAGAAACACCGAAAACTCGGCTCCACCAACGAAAACTTTAGAAAAACCGAAACGAGCTGATAAGTTTTTCTTGTCAAATCCAACTTTCCCCAAAACGCATCTATAGCATCTGTAATTTTCGAAAATACTCGAAATTTGAACTGTCGCACCTTGAGCTCTAAATCCAAAGCCTTTCCGGCTTTCAAATCTAGTTTTTTTATAGTCAATAAAATGGGATCTGTATTTCAGTTTCATTAAGTTGACTACTTAATTCGTGAGATTCATGAAGCCGAGTTTTGGCTACACCTTACATTAAATCAATCATTTCAACTTCCATATCATCTGGACTATAATAGCACAAAAAGTCCATAGCAGAAATTCAAAACGACTACAAAACCAGAAACCCTCAACGACTTCAAACTAAATTCCTTTTTGTACATTTTTTTTCTTTGCTGGCGTGATAGCGTCATCACCCCAGATAAGAGATTTCCCGTATAAAATCAACAAAACGCGAGGCGAGATCACTGAAACATAGCACTCATTTCCCCAAAATGGTTCATTTATCATTTTTTCTTGCAAGCTGTTTTTTGGGGTTGATCTTTTGTGTGAACGATGATCCGATTTGTGCCCTCTCGTACACATATCAATCCGATTTTCGGCTTTGCATCAGCGCGGAACGCAAACATTGTGAGTTTGAACGACTCTATGTATAAAAAACTAGTGAATAATCGGGTGAATAATCGAAAAATCGTAATCATTCAATTAACCTTGGTAAGAGATGGTTTGATTGTGTTTTTGGGCAGTACTAGGTAGCGAGAGGTTTATTAGGATCTACAGGGTGATGTAAAAGTTCGGAGTTTGTTCTTCGGTCGTCAAATTCCGCTTTTAAGATCACAAAAACTATCTAACGCTGAATATTTTTATAAACATTTGTAACTATAGCAAATTTATGTTAAATTTAAGATTTTGCAAGCAAAGATCAAGTCTTTTAATTGACAATATCGCCAGAATCAAGCCAAATGCCTGGTCGCCTGAATTTCTCTAAAGAACCATCTGAAGTTGCAAGTCATCCCCCTACAATACAACTGAGTGGCCGAGTGGTCTAAGGCGCTTGCTGTCACTCAGGACCCAAAAAAGGGGGTTGTTGGTTCGACTCCCCTAAGTGATAGGGCTTTTGCAAAATTTATTTAAAGATGTGCTAGAATCGTTTGGACATAATGGTTGAGAATATTTAAAGATGTTTTTGAACAGTTTGGACATAAAGGTTTGAGGTTAGATTACAAAAATAAAGAGATTTTTAGTTTAAAAAAATATGCCTTTTTTGCGTGAGTATTTTTTCTGGAGATTTCTGGACAAGTACCAGGTAAATTCAAGAGAAACAAGATAGTGAAAATTGTTTTCAAATTTCTTCAAATAGCTTTTCCGGATTGGTTGAGTTTAAGATCTACATCGAAAAGATGTACAGGACTTTCGGCACAACCTGTACAACCTGTACAACCTGTACAACCTGTACAACCTGTACAACCTGTACAACCTGTACAACCTGTACAACCTGTACAACCTGTATAACCAACAACAACAGCAACAAGCCACGCAAATGTATTACCGTAAATATGGTAATTGAAGCTCCGGGGCTTTTATTTTTTCCCTCCCCCTCCAGTGGGGGCTTAGGTATATATATTTACGGTAATACAGGCAGAATATAGGGTTACCCTAGAAAGATTTCAGCCACATGGGAGGATGCGGCGGCGGATTGCGCAAAGGATGGCGCGAATTTGCCCTCGCTTCACAACGCTTTTCAAAATTCTCTGCTCGCTCGTATGTCAATAAAGTAAAGCCGCAACTTCAGCTTTCAAATATATCTCCAAATTCAAGTGGTACCATCCCTAACGAGAAAGGCACGTGGCTGGGTGCTGTGATGGATAGAAACGGGAATTGGACGTGGACGGATGGTACATCGTTCAACTATCAACACTTCGCCATTCCAAAGCCAATAAGTCGGTTTTTATTGTCAAATTAGAGCCAGGTTCTGCCAGGTGCCCTCAAAAAAACATAGGCAAATTCAGCTCCGAAAGGTTAAAAAAGAACAGGTTATGCCCGTTTTCCAATACCGTATTTTCTGTAATAAGGCCTCGGGGTACTTATTTTTCGACCGATCTTCGGACCCCCCAAAAAAGGTGGAAATTAATTTTTTAAAAAATCTTTTGGAAACCATTTTAAACAATAGCCCTTGGTCTAGAATCCACTAAAACCACACTTAAAATGAAAACAAAATTCTCATCCAGAACCGTTCAAAGTCGAGTCGAAATACATGTAATCCTTACGATTTTTCTCTAAATATTATTTTATAATTTTCTCAAAAACTAATTTTCCAATTTATTTGCTACTTACGTAGATCTATTAAAGCAGTTAAAACTATAATTTTAAAAAGTTTAGAAACCTTTCTAGTGAGGACAATTTTGTTTGGAGAATGGGGCGCTTATTAAAGGGTGACAAAGAATTATGGTCCTTATAAAAGTAAAATTAATATAGAAACCCTTATAAAAGAAGCGAATTTGGTTAGTTTAGATGATATCCTATTCAAAATATCAACAAATAAGATCAAAGATTAACAAACAATCAAAACTTTTCAATTTGCTTTCCTTTTTTTGGATACACTGACGAAGATGCTTGGGGAACGCATCAACATTCGCTGCAGGTACCCGATCTTGATTTTATCTCAAGATTTTATCAAAGTCTTCTTCAATAACTCCAAATTTGGATGAAAAGTAGTACAAGCTTTGGCTTCGGGTTCAGGTCTATGAGAGCAATTCTTGAGCACTGATGAAGTCCGCGAAATTTTGTTTGCACCAGTCCTGAACTTTTCTTTGCCTTATGAACCGGCACTGAATCCTACTGGAACACATATGGCTTATTCATTGATACAAATAAGATACAAAGAATGAGTAAACAAAAGAAATATAGGTTTAAAACCGCTTGATGCCCAAAATTTTGTAGGTTTTAACTGGTACGTTCATAATTATAGGAAATCGGTATGTATTAGGATGGGGGAAACCTTCGTTTCACCTAAAATCCTTTCACTTTCCACCTAACAATAAAGTCATTTCACCTAAGTCTTTTCTTCCCGTGCCCAACCGTTAATTAAAGGGAAAGGCTGTAGAACTGAAAGCGAACGCGTTCGAAATTATTCCCATTTGTTTTTAGTTCCAACAAATGTTTGCCTTGTTTTGGACACGATCAAATTGGGCTGGCTCTTCGAGGAGTGCCGGGACGACTTTGGGAACGGCCTACCGGTGGTCGTTCCCTATTTCTGTACGCAGCCATCCACCACCACAATCGACGATCCCACAACTCCATGATCACCTTCAACTCCATAAATACAGGGTGACCAGTAAATACGTGAAATTTCGTAAACAGTCCTTTTTTTACGCGATAAAAGTCACTAACTTTGCAATCAAACAAAACAAGCATTTATTTAGCAGGCTTCTGTTGGTCGTCGGCCTTTTGATAGTTAAAGTCAGAAAAACTTTTACAAAAGCTCTTCTTGGAAAAGTGTTGAATGCTATTTTGGAGAGTTAAGATATTTGTATATACCTGAAATTTTGCGCTCTATCTTTTATCTATTAACAGCAACATAGGTTTCTGTGGACCAAAGCGCCTAAATTGCGTCTTCGGGTTGTGGCCTTTTTTGACTACCCGACTTCGCGTTTCCATAAAAAACCATCGACAAAACATTTTCATAAGATTTGAACGTTATTTTGTAGAAAAATGGTAGGCCTTTCTAATGCAGCCAATTGTAGGTCAATTGGTGAATTCATCTAGTAAACGCTAGTAGAAAAAAAGTGTCTAAAGACTTATAGGCCAACCTAATTCTGGCCAACCTAATAGTTCCTTCGCATTTGCTAATCAATTTGTGCGTCGTTTCGCTTAAAATGTTTAGCTTAAAAAAAAGACTAAACTTGTTAATGTCAATGCACTAACCCCTCCATTCCATTCCAGCCAATCACGTTGTTGTCCAACAAAGAAAAGTGAGCATCGATTAGGGTCAAGAACACGCTAACGCCGGCGTTTTCGATAAAAACGATTACGTTGTTGCACATCATCTGAAATGGCTTTGATTTGATTTGTTAACATTTTTGAAACGGAAAACCTGATCCAGCCTCGTATCCAAGAAAAGTGTCTAAAGACTTATGCGCCAACCTAATAGTTCCTTCGCATTTGCTAATCAATTTGTGCGTGATTTCGCTTAAAATGTTTAGCTTAGAAAAAGACTAAACTTCGATGGGATTGATTCTTTGTCTTCAACTTGACAAGGTGAAATTCTTTGTTTCAAAAACGGAACAAATGGACTTTCACGTAGCCCATGACTAAATTTAATTCTGACTACAGAATCTACACTAACCAAAACTAACCAAAAAAAACTCTTTGCAAGCTTTTAAAAGCAGATTTGGAATCAGCGTCAAAGAAAAAGTGTATTCTTTGTTTTATACATAATAAAACATTCAATTTTTTGGGCTGAATTTGCTACAAAATAGGCTAGCTCTCATTTTGCAGTTCGGTGGTAAATTTGCAATGATCTCTAGTTGATTTCTTTGTCTTTATTTAAACAAATTTGCAATTTACAACACATAAAACTTCTTAAAAGAATGGTTTTAAAGCGAAAATTCTTAAAAATTTTTCATTCTCGTCATTTTGTTTCATCAATGAATGTTAGCCAAAGCAAAAATCTTTTTCAGAAAAATTTTTCTTTAATTTCGCATGGAAGGAAATTTGTATTTTTTCAGAAACACAACAAGCCACATTTAGCAAAATTTTATGATGTTTTTAAAAGTGTTTTTGGTGATTTCGTTTATTCTTTTTGAGACTTGTGTAGCGATCGATTATGATGTGGAGATAAAGGTGAGGAAAAAATTTACACTCGCAACTTTAATCCATTACAATTGAAAGCTGTAAGTTTAACAAAACTTAGTGCTTTTTTCAGCTTCTTTATATGGAAACGGACTTATAAGGGAGGTTCACCAAGCTACCACTGGGTTTCGAAACGAGATCTAGCTCATCTAGACCAGTTTTTCACGCTGGATCTGTAGTCGGATCTACCCCGGAGGCCCTCTGAAGCCGTAAAAATTATTTTATGCAAGGAAAATGCCAAAAAATAGTCGCCACTCTAGTCTGGCTACGGGAGGCTATCAAGTTGTGCTATACTGGAATACTGATAGTGCACTAGTCTCTCACTTCTTGAATCGCTGGTTTGGATCCAGCTGGAATCACTTTTGTTTTGCTTTGTTTCTTTTTATTTAGAATTTAATTGATTGATGAATGACAAAATTTTCTATTTCAGGATTTAATCTGTCCCATTTCAGGGATAGTGTAAATAGAAAACAAAAAACTGTAAAGCTTGATAAAACACGTAACTCAAATGTTGCTAAAAATATTCTTCACTCATAAATAGAGCATCTGACCGTAAAACCAAAAGTCAAGATTTCAATCATTTCTTCTGATGATTAGTATAAGAATATTCAACAAATTCAAAATGTTATCTTTCCGCAAAGAATCTGAGTCACTCTCTATTCAATTCTGAAATTTGAAGGGGTTTCTGGGTGGTTAACGACTAGATCTGTAGTCGGATTCAAGTTGTGCCAATTTTCCAATAATCTTTTTTGATTTTCCACTAAAACAATAGATTGATTTCTTACTTATACAATTCGTAAATAATCAATCCTTTTCAGGCAATTTTTACGGAAATGGAGCGCAAATGGGAAATGAGTGATTTGCCGAAAGTCTCGGACCGCGAATTTCAAGATTTCTTCAAAACCCAATGTGGAATTCAATTCCCGAGCTGGTGGCAATTTGTTCACGTAAGGATTTACAAAATCTACAATAAAAACACATTTGTTCAACGCAAATAATGTGAAAAATATATTGATTTACAATAAACTGTTCAGTTGTTGGCAGGTTGGCAGGTTGGCAAAAAAGAAATGAGCGTCGTGTTTGTTGATTTGTATTTTATTCACAGTAAAAGATTTTTTGAAATAGTTTATTCTATTGCAAAGAGCGTGTTCTTGCGCATCGTTTGATATATAATTTGTCTATGATTACTTTGTTTTTTTGCAAGAAAGAGTGTTTAGAAAATGTCGGACTAAAAATTTCGTTTGCGGGCGTGCTTGTGGTATGAATTTAAGCAAGGCAAATCGGCTGCTGAAGCTCATGGCGCTCTATCGCAAGTGTTTGACGAAGATGCTCTATCCGAAAGTCAGTGTAAACGATGGTTTCAGCGCTTTCGAGACGGCGACGAAAGCTTGGAAGACCAAAAAACACGGGAGTCGACCTCAAATCATCGACAACGACGCATTGAAGGAAGCCATTGAGTCGGATCCACGCCAAACCACTCGCGACCTGGCAGAACAGTTCGACTGCACTCATGTCACCATTGAGAACCATCTGCATGGCATGGGCAAGACGAATAGATGCGGAAAATGGGTACCGCATAAGCTATCCGACGCAAACAAGGCGACACGCATCGCAATCGCCGGAATTCTCACTCACCGCGCCAAGAACAGTGGGTTTTTCGACTCCATTATTATGTCGGATAAGAAGTGGATCCAATACGGCAACACAGCAAGAAAGCGGCAGTGGTTGGACCCCGGTGAAGCTCCAAAACCGGACATCCACGGAAAAAGGTGATGCTTTGTGTTTGGTGGAACAGTAAAGGCCTGGTGTACTTTGAGGTTCTGGATTCGGGTCAAACAGTTACGGCGAACCTCTACCAAGGCCAATTGGACCGCGTGGACCAGGCGCTGCGACGTCAAGGTGTGGATACGGCGTCGACAAAATTCCTCCACGACAACGCTCGGCCGCATGTCGCAAAAAATCACCCAGCAGAAAATTGAAGAAATGAGCTGGGAAGTCCCGCCTCATCCACCATAGAGCCCAGACTTGGCGCCTTCCGACTACCATCTGTTCCGATCAATGCACCACTCCTTGGCCGAGAAAAAGTTCAAGAACGGCGACGAGGTCCAAATTTGGGTGTCCAACTTCTTCGAGTCGCAGCCGGTCGAGTTCTTCCAGAAGGGCATCCATTCTCTGCGTGAACGTTGGCGACAAGTCATTGATGCAGATGGCGAATACCTTTTGGATTAATGTATTGTTATCTTGTTTTTATAATAAAATAAACTTTTAACGAAAACGCGCATTTCTTTTTTGCCAACCTAATATTAGTTCTGAATAAGAAAAACCGGTTTCATGGCATTCGTTTGATTGTCGTTATGATCGGATTGCCGAATTTATTGATAATTTGCTTGAAGCTAAGTGATAATCATATAATCTTGATAATTATAATTATAAATTATAATTTGATAATTATATAATTTTTAAATCTCTATTCCTAATTTCTAACTCAATAGAAGTTTTGAAATGAATCCTTTACAGCGTCCCATTTGTGTCCTTGCACTATCGATCTTCACAGATGGAGCAAAGGCTGGGTATCAAGCTGGGCTCCGAGTTTGTCAGCGAAATTAAATAAATGTTACATCAAGATTTTGGTAGATTACAGGGCTCTTCCTAGAAAATCTCTCATCCAAGCCAAATCTGAATCATTACTTTTGACTCGGCTTGGTTTTTTCAGGCCAATTGGAAAGTCCTGGTAATTTATTCATGAAAAAAGCATGAAAACAACGAAAGAAAGTCAAGCACAAATTGCAAACCTGTTGCATGATTGTCAAGCCAAAAAACGAAACGATAAAGCAAATCTTTTTGGTGATTGATCGGTTTTCGTAAGAGGATTGGAGAAAGTTGAGAATATGGCCGATTAATGTTATTGGATGAGTTGAACAAGCTCGACAAATAGGGATCGATTTCAGGAAAAAATTTTTCTCTACTTGAATAGATTCTTTCCAATCCCATCTTTCAAATTTCTCTTCAATTCCCAAAAATATTTTCCCAATATCTCGATCTTCTTCATAACGAAATGCTCTCCCTAAATGTAAATGTTTGAAAATTTTCCAAATTTGAATTTTTATTGAACAAACAAAACAAAAAATTGAACAAAATATCGAAAAGTCTTTATAAACTTATCGATTCTATCGACAAATGGCCAAACGAGAGTCTTGATCTTTGGGTTTTTGAAAATAGCTCTAGATATAAACAATTGATTGCTTTACAATTAGGATAGCTTGCTATAGCTTGACTTTCCAGCAACTTTGCCAAATACTCGTCTTCTGACTCCGTTTGATGGCTTTTCGTAAACGGATTTGAGAAAGTTGAGAATAATGTTATTGAATGAGCTGAACAAGCTCGACTCAGAGCTCAGAGACGAACAAGCTCAGAGATCCATTTCAAGAAAGATTTTTCTCCACTTGAATAGATTTTTTCCAATCCCATCTCTTCAAATTTCTCTACAATATCAAATATCGACATAGGGCCAAACGAGAGTCTTGATCTTCAGGTTTTTGAAAATTTTAGATGAAAATAGCTCTAGATATCAACAATTGATTGCTTTACGATTAGGCTAGCTTGCTATAGCTTGACTTTCCAGCAACTTTGCCAAATACTCGTGTTCTGACTTCGAATTTGTCACTTTTTCAAACCTCCAATCAAGTAAATCGCAGACTTTCGGCTTGTAAAAGTCTAAAAATACTTGAGCTTATACAACTTTATAAAAAACGAGAGAAAACTTGGAAACTTGTTGTGGTAGTTGAGTTGAAAGAATTCGTTGAAAAGTCGGATCTATCTTTCGGTATTACCAGTTTCCAAAATTTATGTCATAAAAAGCGCAAAATAAACTGTATTACTAACAACTTTTTGTTGTTTCCACAATCAAATAATGGTTGATGAAAAACGTTTTTGAGGCTTCCGTTGGCACCATAGTTGTAGAAGAACATGGCTCTATTTCCGGATTACTTAAAAACAATTAAATAGTTTCGATTTTTCCTCTGTAGGGTCCATCGAAATAGAAACATCTTAATTCTTTGTTAACCATCAACAATTCGAAAGAGACACATCAACCGCAATAGCTTTTAAAACGAAGATCTTCAAATCTCGAGGTAGTACAGGGTACCCCGATCAATTACTAGGTTGATGTCACAAGTCAAAACCGAGCTTTTAGTTTAGTCGGTGAAGTTTCTAGATTGCCGGATTCAGTAAATTTTGTTTAGAGCTACAAACATTTTTGTTTATCAGAGTCTACAGTAAAGTGTGTTCCTCGCGAGTAATGCGTTTTTTAAAGCTCACACTTGGGAAAAAATTACCGTACTTTTGCAAAAAAATGACCCAAAAATCACGAGCCCCGCATTATATACGACACTTTTTAAAGATACTCAGCCGTTTAACTGATTTGGTGGGAAATTCACTTCAAATGTAAAAACTGATTTTTTTTGAAAAACCTGCGCAAAAAATTGCTTTTATAGTTTTTATATTTATATTACTATTTGCTATAGTTTTCTTCGTAAAACTGTCAACTTGCAGGAGCGATGACAAGAAATGTGGTCGGTTCACTTTCTTCGCCCCTGATCCTGAACCTAAACCTGAACCTGGTCCTGAACCTGAACCTGAATCTGAACCTGAACCTGATCCTGAACCTGAATCTGAACCTGACCTGGTCCTGAACTTGAACCCGGCCCTGAACCTGACCCTGGGCCTGAACTAACCGCTGTCAGACCGGACTCTGGCATTTTTATCTCAATTGGAACACTCTTAACTACGATTAGAGTGTGTTCCTCGCGAGTAATGCGTTTTTTAAAACGCACACTTGGAAAAAAATTACCCTACTTTTAGCAAAAATTATTGCAAAAAATGACCCAAAAATCACGAGCCCCCCATTATATACGACACTTTTTAAAGATACTCAGCCGTTTAACTGATTTGGTGGGAAATTCCCTTCCAATGTAAAAAATGATTTTTTTTGAAAAACCTGCGCAAAAAATTGCTTTTATATTTTTTTCGCGCAGGCGCACTTTTTAGAAAACGCATTACTCGACAATTACTCGAGCTATTACTCGAGTAAAAAATTACTCATGCAAATTTACTCGAGTGATTACTTACTCTCGAAGAACACACTCTAGTCTACAGTTACCAATCAAAATTTCACTCATTCAATTCAAGCTGATTGAACATTTCCAAAAAGATCTCATGGCAAAAAATCTGTGTAATCAGTAGATATTTCGGGTAGACTTTCAAAACGGGTGGTGTGTCGTGAACGATGATGTGAATGGTGAAAATGTGAAGGGCGATGGAAAGTGGATCCTGTATTAGATCAAAAGCCAAAAGAGGGCCCAACGAGAAGTCGACCGCGTTTTTTTGCTCTTCGTTATCTTTCATTTCATAAAATGAAAAGTCGTTAACAAGGTCGTAAACAGGCCTAAGCCATAGTTGATTTCAACTTCCAAAATAGACCAAAAGTTCGAAAGTTCAATTTAATTTTCGTTCCGTATAAAGTATTGTTCCTTTTATATATAGCAAAAAAAAGAAGATTCTCAAGAACGAAGTTATGTCTGGAAACCCAAATGCTCAGCTTTTTTTCTTGGTGCAAGGCAATAATCCAACAAGAAGCAAAAAAGACTACACAATGGAGCAGATTCAACAGAATCCAGGTTCAGCCATTTTAATATATATATGCTTTATTCAGGGGCGAAAAAAGCAAATCAGATAATTATAACCGCATACAACATATTGCTATAATACTTTCACAAAAAAAGAAAGAAAACTAGAAATAGTACAGTAAAATTACAGTTAGGAAACATAGGTACAAAAATATTTAAATATAGGGCAGATTTGACATGGCAATAAGAACTAATGCGCTTACAGATACTTTCAATTTTCCTACAGTCGAGAAGATACCAGACGGGAGCTTATTCCAAACCCTACTAATACGATTCGCAAAAGTATAATAAAGGGAAAGATGATGGGGATGGGGACTGACCGAAATTTGATAAGGATGACTACGTGTTCTTCTAGGACTTTCCACAATTTTCAAGAGCCTTTGAAATTGTGGATGCGTCTTAGGGTGGAAAAGAATTTTATAGCAAAAAAATAAGCTCAAAGTAAATACGGCGATATAAAAAGGGGTTTAAATCAAAAACTATAAGTCTAGTCTCATAATTTGGAATAAGAGAAAAAGGGAAACAACGAGTCTATGCTTTTTTAGTGAAACGCCGTTGAACATTTTCAACCAGGGTGATAAGTTTCTTAATGGAAGGTGACCATGCGATGGTGACATACTCGGGCAAAAGCCGGCAATAGGTTATAAATGCCCTGTGATAAGTCGCGATTTTAGGGAAACAAATAGCGCAAAGTATTAGGTTAGAAATTCTAGAAGCTTTAATCGAAAAAGAGATCGAATCATTGAACAATTCGAAAATAATGAACTGACTTTGACGAACTTTTACATGACTTGGAGATCGAGATCTGAGTTTTTGCTTACGGACGGATAGACACGATTAGGGACATGTATTAGGAAAAATAAAATCATTAAAAATAGAAAAAAAATAACTTTTTACTATTCTCAAATTAGTTCGTTTTGAGAAAAACTTTATATATTAGGTTGGCAAAAAAAGAAATGCGCGTTTTCGTTAAAAGTTTATTTTATTATAAAAACAAGATAACAATACATTAATCCAAAACGTATTCGCCATCTGCATCAATGACTTGTCGCCAACGTTCACGCAGAGAATGGATGCCCTTCTTGAAGAACTCGACCGGCTGCGACTCGAAGAAGTCGGACACCGAAATTTGAATCTCGTCGCGGTTCTTGAACTTTTTCTCGGTCAAGGAGTGGCGCATTGATCGGAACAGATGGTAGTCGGAAGGCGCCAAGTCTGGGCTGTATGGTGGATGAAGCAGGACTTCCCAGCCCATTTCTTCAATTTTCTGCTGGGTGATTTTTGCGACATGCGGCCGAGCGTTGTCGTGAAGGGATTTTGTCGACGCCGTATCCATACCTTGACGTCGCGGCGCCTGGTCCACGCGGTCCAATTGACCTTGGTAGAGGTTCGCCGTAACTGTTTGACCCGAATCCAGAACCTCAAAGTACACCAGGCCTTTACTGTTCCACCAAACACAAAGCATCACCTTTTTTCCGTGGATGTCCGGTTTTGGAGTCGGTTTTGGAGCTTCACCGGGGTCCAACCACTGCCGCTTTCTTGCTGCGTTGTCGTATTGGATCCACTTCTCATCCGACGTAACAATGGAGTCGAAAAACCCACTGTTCTTGGCGCGGTGAGTGAGAATTCCGGCGATTGCGATGCGTGTCGCCTTGTTTGCGTCGGATAGCTTATGCGGTACCCATTTTCCGGATCTATTCGTCTTGCCCATCCCATACAGATGGTTCTCAATGGTGGCATGCGTGCAGCCGAACTGTTCTGCCAGGTCGCGAGTGGTTTGGCGTGGATCCGACTCAACGGCTTCCTTCAATACGTCATTGTCGATGATTTGAGGTCGACTCCCGTGTTTTTGGTCTTCCAAGCTTTCGTCGTCGTCTCGGAAGCGCTGGAACCATCGTTTACACTGACTTTCGGATAGAG